TATGGCGCGAGTCCGTTTTTTGTCCGCCTTTGTTGTGGCCACACCGACAAACATATTTATTTCATTAACAGCAAATGGCAGCGGGAACGCGTGCAAATGCCGCTTTATGCACTAATTGCATTGCAACCTGTGGAGCGCGCAAATAATGAAAGAAATACTTGCATAACGCCGCCCCCTTGCATGCCAAATTGGTCGGTCTAAACCGCTCGGTTGGTGTTGGCCCCGCCTGTTTCCCCATTAACAGGCTACCAGGATACCTCTTACCGCGTACCTGTTACCAGTTAGTCCTGTTAGCACTTGCCAGTGCCACAAAACGTGGCCAACGCAACGAAATTATGCCGTAAAACTGAGGTTTGCGGTGGGAGATTCAAGGAAGTGGGGATTGGGGGCCGGGAAAAACCCAGTGGAAAGCTGGAAAAGCATGCAATCTGCTACCAACGCTCCAGTCTGCTCCTGGTCGCTGTGATTTTCTAATTAGGCAAAGTTTCCCCGACACATTTTGCGGTCGCTAACGCTGCGGCAATTTACGCATAATACACGACGGAGGGAAAAACTACAAGGGAAAAAATGGGGCTGCTGCTGCTGCCTTCCACACCTGCACTTCTATTTCTGTAAATTAACATAGAAATATGTAATTTCCGTTATGGGCAGGTGAAAAAAAATATGAAAAAGAAAAATAAAGTAGAAAAACGAAAAGCGTAAGCGGAAAAGACGAGTTACTTTATGACTCGGCAAGATCCAGCAATACATTCAAGCAGTGCGCCAACCGCAAAGACCCTTGCCTACTTATAAAAATATTACGCTGCCGCCCAGTCCGGGAATTGAGCAGTGGGCGGAGGGCGTGGCAGCTGGAGGTGACCTGCCAGCCAACTATAATAAATTTCATGGGCTCAGTAAGGCGGTGTTCACGGATCCTCGGGAAGATGAACGGAGTCCGGGCAGCAGATATCCTCGAATTGCACGGCGAAAAACTCACTTCAAGTGCAAGTTCTGAATACGGACAACTGAGCAAAATTTATAATATTTAAAGTAAATTATAAACATAATATAAAGCAGTAGGCTCGGAATAGTCCGATTTTGTATCCTTTTTTTATTTAAGAAATTTACATGGAGGAGTTATCAATGTGTATTCCCTATGACACATAGATAATAATTTTATTAAATGTCCCTTTCCCTAGTTAGCCCATTATAATACACCATATATCTTATCATAACATATATCATTTAAATTAACAAGGACAAAAGATTATTTGAAGGTGTATTTAAAGCATAAGTATAAGTATACTTCAAACACTTATTCTGAACTTAAATCCACCTTTTTTCACTGTGTCTGACTGTGCGTGCGAGAATCAGTATCCGTGAGTCCGTATTCCGTATTCTGTAGTCCGCAAAAGCCGGAGACCAAGACCAAAACCCGGAGCCCCGGTTAAGCCAGAAAGGTGGCCGATGCGTTGGCCGGCCCAAAAGAAATTGCGTTGAGTTGTGAATGCCGCGCTGGGATTTACGTTTTCATTACGTTTGTAACCTCACAAGTAAAGACAGTTGTCGGAGTGTGAGTGTATCCTCTGCCGTAGGTGTGGGACTGGTAAGTGTGTGTGTGTGTGGGCTGCTCGCCACCTTTCACCTTTCAACCTGCACATTTCGGGCGTAATTTATGCGCTTATTGTCTTTTGCACGGCCAACCTCATGCCAGCAGCAGAAATCCTTACATGAAGGGAAAATTGTATTATTATAAAATGGTCTTATAAAAGTAATGGCATATACCCCCTTCAAATATAGTATTTTTGTAATATATAACCTAGGACTCCTTAATATACATAAGTGATGTTATAAATCATTATTTAAACTACTCAAAGATATAATCAACTGTAAATCCTATTAATGTTCTACAGACATATTTACGATATTACAGACAATCCTGTTTTTCAGTTTATTATTTGTATGGTTCTAGAATAGTTACAGAACCAGACAACATAGGAACTTATGGTACAAGCAGCCAGGCTCTTTACTGTTTTCATAATATGACTGAGATTAATAAGCACTTAGTTAATCAATATTGTAAAATTTAAATCTTAATAATATATCTCATTTGTAACCTAGCATTTTCCTGAGTGGACCTACCTCATTTTGAGCCCTGATCTGCAAGGGTCCTCTGCCCCATTTGCGCCCCTGCCACGCCCCCTCCTCGACACCGTTTCGAGGACTCATTTCGGCCATGCTTATTTGCTCACTCGCGCGTTCGCACGCCCTTCAGCCCCTCAGCCCTTCGTCCTTCAGGCCAACTCAACTCAACTCCTCTTACCTCGCCCGACTCACTTGTCGCAGTGTCCCGGCTCCTTGAGTCCTTTCATGCTGGTAATTTTTCATAACCGTCGACGAGTTGTCCGCCGCTGCCAGGTCGCTTTGATCCATGGCGACACGTCGACTGCCGGCGCACCTGAACTCCCGATGGGTGGCGATGGCAACCTTTCGATGGAGGGCACTCCGCCACCGACTCCGACACCGACCCCCACCAACCATGCCACACATCTGGGCCTCCCGCGCAAGAAATTAAATATAAACTTGCTGCAGCACTTTGCCCTTTGGGAGTGGCAAGGATGAGGGGCGACGCGGAGTGAAGTGGAGTGGAGTGTTCGTCCTGCCGCCTGTTCGGGCAATAAAAAGTCCCTAGATTATGTTGTTGCTGCTCCCGCTGCCGTTGTTGCTGCCTTGTTAATGTGGCACTTGTGCTGCTGTTATTGTTGCTGCTGTTACTAGCTAAGTGGCAACTTCATCATCTGAGGGGGCGGGATTTGGAGCCGCCTCAATCTCCGCCGGGCCGCCATAATTGTATTCAACAAGCTGGTGTCGCTCCGGATCCAAGATGTATCTAAATGTGTGTGTGTGTGCGCGTGTACATTTCATTCTGTACTTTTGATTATAAAATTCCCCCCAAGGGGCGGGGCCAAGCGGGTTTTTTTATGCAGATTATGAAATTTATTAGACCCGCCTCCTCGTTCAAGGCTTATCCTTCTGCCTCCGCGTCAAAGAGATATTGCCCTAATGCGCTTGAGTTTTAATTCGCCGGCTCGTGATTTACAGCCCTCGAGCCCCGTATGATGCAATCAGTCAAAGCACTGCAAAGCTCACATTTTATGGGCCCTTTAACGAGCAAAGCATTAAGTACCTGCCTACAACATACAACATGCAGAACCGAAAGGCGATGCACGACTGCCAAATTGTTGATGAACTGGCAAAACACATCCCACCACCCACTCACACACACACACACAGGCCATCCTTATCGGGTGTTCCCAATTAGTTAAGCATTTCCACAAATTCCAGCAGAAACTCAACCTCGTCCTGTTGCCGGTTGTCTCAGATGTCTCGGCAGTTGTCGGTTGTGGCCATAATGATTATTATTGTGCTAGTTGGGCCCAGCAACTGCACTTGGCAAAAAATCGGGGACTAATGTGACCCCAAGCCCCTTATATGACCTCTTTCGTTCATAAGAAAACACGAATATGAAGTGTATAACTATAAAGTCTATGGTATATATAGAAACCTTTGCTTTTACAGCTTTTTATAATTATTTTTTTAAATTATATCATAAACTTGCCATTAAAATATAGCTTCCGATAAGAGTTTGTCCAACGGGTGGCAAATAAAATTAAAAACTCTATTTCTTTTATGGTATACCACATTTTGTTTCATAACCCAGTGTATCCCAAATTTAATGACCTTTTGTTCGAGTGCACAAGTACGTGTTCCAGGCTTGTGTATTGATTTGGCTTGCAATGCAATAATTACATGGTTACATGAGCGCAATTTCCGTAACATAACTCACGGAGGTCGTATGCCACCGCTTTACGCATGCAACATGTTGTCTGCCACAGGACCTCTATACCTCGTACCCCCTCCCACCACCCCACTACCCACTCCCCACCAATGCCCTTTGTTAACTAACCATCGAATACACACACATGCGTGTTTGGCGTGAGTTCGCCTTGTTGACGAGTTGATGAGATGTTAAGATTATGTTAATGAGTTCATTAAATCACAAGAAACAACCAGCCGCATAAAGTTACAGACAGTTGGGCGGGCAGACTCTACTCTAGAGAACTATGGAGTTTCGCAGATCTCCGGACTCGGTTGGCCATTGACATTTTTGGCATCTTATTGCTAATTAGGAGATGGCCCAACAATAATCAGGCTAACAACCAAATGGCAAAATGTTTTTACCAAATACTGCAGCGATGTTTTAAGTGCACAAATCGCTGAGCTCAACAACTGAAATCACGTTCGACACCCGCGGAAAATTTCAATCTGATCGATTTGTGTATTTGTCAAACTGATTTATCGAGTGTCTCGGTTTGATGGCGTGGAAATGACGACCCCCAGAGTGGAGGCCCACACACACACATCACCTGCACATCCCGTCCCGTAATGATATGCAAATAGCATGCCCTTTTCAGCTGCACCGGCATCGGTTCGGAGTTCGAACGGCATGGGCACACGCATTCCATCGAGGACACACTGAAAACCTCATTTCGATCTCGGCTGAGCCGCACTGAGCTGCTGCAGCCAAACAGCCGTACACCCGGCAGTCCGGCGGACGGAGATGCAGGTGGAGGGCCGGAGTCATTTGGCACACTTCCACCTACACAGTCACTGCAGGGATTCTTCGCCCAGCAAGGCTCGGATGCACTGAAAAAATCTAAAACAAAATTGAACAGCATAAAAGATATCATAAGAACTTAAATCAGTTCTCAATGTATAAAAAACTACAATATCATAATATCAAAATAGTTTAAATTGGTACTATATAAGCACAAAGATAGGCTTTTAAATCTTAAAGTTCCTAGTAGTTCATTAATTTCTAAATAAATTAGAGAAATAATTAAAATCTAAGACGTGGCCTTGTAGTTTTACGTACTATTACAGGAATATACAAAATATAAGTAGGCAATTTTGTATTTAAACTGATTATTTAAATCTAGGAATACGTTGTGAAAATTGTCATTGCTTAGAATTCTATTATAGTATAAAAACACTTGTACTCCGCTTCAGCAAAGAAAGTAGTAATTTTGAGCTTAAATTTCGAGCAATCAGAAAACCACAAGAAAACACAAAGAGCGATCTGTAGTTCTAACAGTATGACTCAGGAAGGTCAGGATCTACCAACATTCAAGTGCGTTCTCGTCGGCGATGGCGGTGCGGAAAGACGACCTTTGTGAAGCGCCACATGACCGGAGAGTTTGAGAAGAGGTACGTGTCCACATTGGGCGTGGAGGTGCATCCATTATCTTCCACACAAATCGCGGCGCCATACGCTTCAACGTGTGGGACACCGCTGGCCAGGAGAAGTTCGGATGTCTGCGGGACGGCTACTACATCCAGGGTCAGTGCGCTCTCATCATGTTCGATGTGACCTCGCGTGTCACCTACAAGAACGTGCCCACCTGGCACCGCGATCTGGTCCGCATTTGCGAAAACATCCCGATCGTCCTCTGTGGCAACAAAGTGGACAGCAAGAACCGCAAGCTTATGGCGCAGAGCATCGTCTTCCACCGCAAGAAAAACTTGCAGTATTACGACATCTCTGCCAAATCGAACTACAACTTCGAGAAACCATTCCTTTGGCTTGCGAGCAAGCTGGTTGGTGACCCCAACTGGAGTTCGTCGCCATGCCGGCCCTGCTGCCGCCAGAGGTCAAGATGGACAAGGATTGGCAGGCGCAGATCGAGCGGGACTTGAAGGAAGCTCAGGCGACCGCCCTGCCCGACGAGAAGAGGATATATAGGACTATTTATAGTTAACTGGGAGACATGGCCGACCTGTACACTCACCACTATCCACACTCGTATTTATGGAAATTCATTGTTGTAACTTTGGGCAGAGTCTACGAAAATTAAAAAATGTAAAAAAAATTGTTTTGATGGAAATCCAGGAAATAACTAAAAAACTAGAAAATGAAAACCACCACTTTTTAGTACAGTGTTCTTAAATCAAGCGTCAAGTGTGCTTGATTTGGTTTTCTGCGCACATATCGTTCTCGATCTCGTAAAATGAGAACCACAGTATCGAAATCAACCCTAATTTCTTCTTGGTTAAAATAAAAAATGAGGAGATACTCTGAGATTTTTCGGGAAGCTTAGAAAAACTTTGGCTCTCGTAAATAGTAATCGCTGGGAATATGTGCAATTTATGTTTTTATTAATAAATTAATATTTATTTCATAAATTACTTTATACTACATCTTATAATATTACTGTGTGGCAAATGTAAAGATACCATTAGGAAAAACATCAAAATATATAAAATTTGATTAAATGATGTTTACCTTGAACTATTTATCTTAGACCTCCTTTAAATTTTTCGCTCAGTGCCTGACAACATTGATGGGTAACTCATGCTCTGGGAATGAGAGTCGAATGCATTTACAAAAAGCTTTCCCTCTGTATTGGCTCCTTTTATGTACGTTCAATTGGCGGTGTGTGGCTAATCTAGCGAAATTCCAACCGCTGAGAAGAGCAGCCCGACCCGCGCATGCGCCATTCTGGCCAAAAAAAAGAGGGGAAAATAAATAAATAGAGAGAAACGCTGGTGCTTATCATATTTGCACCTTTTTAACCTTTTGCACAGATTTTCCCCCTCGTCCATCGCCCATCGTCGTCGCATTGGGGTCAATTTTAAATTATACACTTCCGCTTCCGTGCTCCGACATTCGCTCGATTGACGACGACGGGTGGGATTGGGATTGGGATCGGTCGGATCGGAATACGTCTTGCCTTTCCCTTGGTCGCCGTCATCGGGCTCCTGTGTAAATATTGAAATCGATTCAGTTTCCATAAGCCGGCCACCTCCGTGAGTCAGGTAAGGCGACTGGCTGGCATCCGTTTATAAGGAGTAGGAAGTCCAGAGTCCGGGGGATTCGGTCTGTGGTTTCGCCAACTGCTTGTTATGCTTCATGTTTTTGCCAAGTTGTTGTTTCTGTCGACGCTTTACTGAGCTTCGCTCCCCTTTTGGCCCGCCTCGGCCTGTTTATGCAAGTGGATTACGGTGTTTGGATCTGATTATAAATCATCTTTATAATCCGTAAATCGTGTTTGGTTAACATAATGGAATAAATTTATTTTATTTATTGCAGCTGTAAGTTTTAATAAGATTTCTACGACTCGTCGTCGTTTATGGCCGGTCCGTGGGACCGCCCACAATTTCTTCTTGTTTGGAATCTGGTCACCGGATTCCCACAGGCCTTGCCCTGCCCGGTTGACTTCCTCCTGTTCTGGTCTGTCTGTCCTGTCCTGTTCTGTGCCGGCTGCTTAAGTTCAAGTGCACTTTAAGGCATCTGGAGACAAGGTTGGGCTGCCTTATATTGTCTGCCCGCGACGCGGCCAGCAATTATTGTAAATTGCTTGGTGTCATTTACACATTTTCCACGCATTTTCGCCATCGCTGTTGTGTCGCTGGGCCGGAAGTTGTTTGCCCTTCGCTTTGCTTTCTGCCCTCGTATTTTCCCGCTTTCTTTTTTGGCTGTTGGTGTCGTTAGCGCTGTTGTCTCCTTGCTTATCTGCGCATTGTTGACCTCCTGGCGGCTGCTCGTCCTTTTGGCCACTTCAAGTCCTTGTCGCGGCTGTCGTCGCCTGGCCCGAATAGCTGCCTGCACGGCGAGTATTTAACCAAACTGCCCACAAAATGGCATCCGCGCTGCATCGCGGCAGCTCATTAAACGCATGCACTGAGAATTATCCGCACACACCAGTGATGCCTGTTAATCTGACAAAAGAATATATTAACTATTTTTTAGGGGAATTTAAAGCATAACTAAATAATTTCTGTTTACTTCATTTTATGTAACGGTTTTATAATGTTTTTTATTGCCATTAATAATGACAATAATGTTTTTGAAAGAATACCGATCCCTTATTATATAAAAAATAAATAAAGCCCTCGAAATCAGACAGTTCGTAAAGAATACATAAAAATAAGGAAGCTTCAAATATATGTTGCATACTTTCAGGCCCCTTTAGAGGTGATTTTAGAACCATTGTATCTTTTGCTCAAGAAGCTTATGGATTTCCTTCCCTTCAGTTCCAAAAAAAAGTTTCACTTGTGAATCACCTTGGGAATCACCTGGGACATGTCCTCGTGCACAAGTGAAGAACAAGTGACGCTCCATATAGAAAATTGTATGGGATGTCCGCATTTTCACAAGTGAAAATTCAAATGAAAATTTTTCGAAGTCCTACGGGATTTCACTTGTTCCTTATACTCATTTTTCGTATGGCCTGTCACGTGCCGGTGACTCGTCCCAAGTGAATCACTTGGGAAAATCAGAATTTTTCCTTGAGTTTTCACTTGTGAAATCACTTGCAAGGGACACGTCCAAGTGAATCACTTGTGAAAATCAGAATTTTTCCTTGAGTTTTCAATTAAAAAATATAGAATTTAATTCATTTCATTTTAATTCATTTTAATTATATGGTACTATTTAGATTTTCAAAAATTGTACAATTATTGTTTCTGTTCTTTTGCTTCGTAACCTTATTTTTAACGTTAGACATCGCCGTTCTTAAACCTTTGTCCGGATCCTCTGAATCCTTGGCCAACGCTCCTGAAAAAACATATGTTTAAAAAATGCGTTTTATTTGTTTAATTGTATATTTACCTTTTATAGCTTGTTGCAGAATTTTTATTGGCACAAAACATTTCGTCATCCACTTTCGGCTAACGGAACCCATTGAATACCTTCAAAATTTACGTACTTTAAACTAAGATCAATGCACAACATCTTAAACTTAATGTAGCACTTACCTGACTTTATTATATTAACTAAACGATTAAAGTAACTCTGCTGCGCACCATTAAAATGGATGCTTCCCTTTCAATCACTCAAACAGAATGCACCAAGTCTTCTCACCCCTTTACTAGATTTCTTTTGTTTTCTCTTCGCTGTTGGCGCGTGCCACTGCACCTATACCCTTTCTAAAGTAAAATATATCAGACTACATAGTTTTTACTTCTTGAGTAAAAAATACAATACGATTTTTTTTTAAATGTTAATACTTAAATGTTTTAAATACTTAAATCAATTTTAACGGACTAAATTTCTATACCTTAACTATACAATTATATTGTAATAAGAATGTATAATAAGTAAATATAACATTATAAGTAAATACAATTTACTAAATTTTACTATAATCAAATAGTTTACTTTTATAAAACAATATTAGTTGTTTTTTTCGATACACAATAATGCTCCTAAAATATTAGGGCATTAACATGTCGCTTCTCCACGAAAATTTTTCCGCCGAAATATTAGTCGCTAGCCGAACATAACGGAGAGACGCAAAAAAAAATAACGGACCAGCCGAAATTTGTCTCTGCGAGCGCGGAGTGCAGGCAGATTATAAGACAAGAAAGAGAGGGAAATATCCGAATATCTGCCTCTCTTTGTTGCACGATCGTTTTCGTGGGCAGTCTTCTACGCTGCGCCGACTGCTCTGCTGACGTCAACAGCGGCACAGCGTTTTAGGCACAAAAAAAAAAACAAAAAAAGCTTTTTGCCTTGAGCCATGTCACCGCGTCCTACTGCAGAACTGAAGGGTTATTACTTCATTTAACATTTTGTTTTACTCCGTTTACTTACTTTCTTTAATAAGTAACTGTCATCACTATTAAACCCGCCCAAAATGCGATTGCGACCACTCAACTGCAAGAGTGCGGCATGCGAAAACCTCGAGCAGCTCATCGGCGCCTCTCGAATATTTTCTTTCGAGGGTTTTCATGGGGCGGCCCGTAGCCAAGGCCAAATTGCTCCTGATGCCGAACCCCTCCTCTCACCGCCGTTGTCTACGCCTATGAAATATCGCACTTTAACGTCGTTTCTGAGCATTTTTAAAATGATAATGCGAATTTCTCGCAGATAAATAATGCAGACCGACTCATGAACCAGCCAGATCCTGTTCTGTTCTTCTCACCCCTTGAAGAACATTTCTGTCGAAATTTTATGAATATAGGGATTTATGGCCAGACGAAGGATTTGCTACGTGGAAAACTGGAAGGAGATGAAATATGAACGACTGCCTTTCATATATCTGCTAATAAAACGTATTTTACACATATGGTTGCGCAATTTCAGTGTATTTTTTTTTCTCTTCAGTTTTTACCATTTGATTAAATCAATTTTTTAGCTAATTAAGTAATGCACACGAACACTTCTACTTTCTGTTAATTAGGTTAATTTAATGAAAAACAGTTGTGGCGGCTTACATCAAATGCGATTGCTGGCAAATGAAATGAAAATAATGGATTTTGTTTGATGAGATAACTTTTTCACAAGGCAGTGTTTTTCAACTTAAACTTTGAATGCTTTTTGTTTGAAAAACTTGTTATTTGCTCCAACCAACTATGAGGTATATGCTGGCTTTTTTGGAAGGGAGCCGCGTTGACTTATTTTTCCGGCGCTACTTGAACTAATTTACCCTCAGACAATTATGAATGTGCATGCACAAATTGTTGGTAAAGTGCGCATTTAGCCACTCGAAAGAAATGTGCAAAAACACTTGCCCCACGAAGAGCTCCCCAGCTAAATGATTGTTATGGCGATGACTGTGAGGTTGATGATGATGATGATGTTACAAGGGCCAAAAGCCGGGGAGTCGGATTCGGGCTTTTAAAGTATTGCTGCTGCTGCATGTGAGCCAAACTGAGGGGTCTTTTGGAGGGGCTGCATATGATGGGGGTAGCATTTGGATTTTTAGCGCAATTTAACAGAGAATTAAACCACACTCAGAAAGGAGTACATCACCCACACATGCACTAATGCCACATGATTGGTGTGTGTGTGTGTGCAAATTGAAAAAGTTTCGGGCCAAGTTTGTGTGTTTCTACCAGAATTTATTGGTAGTCGATGTCGAAATTGATTGCTCGAACACACTAAAGTGCTTTTGGGTAAAGACTGCCTGCAAGTATTGACCAATTTATGCAGCGATTCAATCGCCACCAGAGCGTGTAAGCCGGTCTTGAATTTATGGCCAACTAATTTAATATGTTCGCTCACTGTCAGTGAGTGTGTGCCAAACTAATTAAAAAGTATTTAATATCTGTAAACATGCCTAAAAATAAACTCTTACGCCCGGCCAGCTCGAGACCTTCTCCCCCTCTTTGTCCTGGTGGAAAAAAGCGCCAAACTATGCACCGAAAAAGTTTGTCGTCAAAAGGCAGACTCTCGCATACATCATCCTTTTCCCATTCAACCCGCAATCCCTTTCGGCTGGACTTTATGGACTGCCCGGGGGCAGGACTCGACAGCAACTTCAAAAGCGGCACTGCCAACGTCCTCATTTGGAGCGTGTGTTGCCTTTTGTCGTTGTCGCCTCGAACCCAAAGCCAAGTGTTGCCAAAAAATAGCAAAAAATTGGAGAACTATAGTTTATTATAGAAGTCGACTGAAAGATACCTAACACTAAGAATGTTGATCTTATATCACAGATTGAACGGGAAAAATAAACAAATTATAATGCCACCATAATTGTATAAGATTATACCTTGTCTTTAAACACAGCTGTTGGTTTAAAAAAACGCTTAAATCTTAAGGCTAAGATTATTAAAGGGATAGAGCCTAATTGCTGTTCTTTCTTTCTTAAATATATATTTAAATATAAATGCTTCAATTTCATTATAATATTTTTAATTACTAAACAAATTTAATTTAATAGATATCTTTACAAGATTCCATGGGAATATACCTTCCTTTCATAGAGAGCAATCGGTATAAAAACGAAGCTTTCTCGCTGTCGTTGTCGCGTCCTCATTATGAGCTCTGGGTTTTGGGGCAACCAGCTGCATGTTGCATGGACCATGGACTGAGGACCGGAGGACCACCCATCCTAACCCACTGGCCCTTGGATAGTGCATGTTGTGTGGCCCACTTCGAGCTCATTTCTCATCGGCGGGGCTTTGTTTTTAGTAAGCCAACTTTTGGCAGCCAAACATTTTTAGCAAAGTTTATGCTGCTCGTTGGCCAGTTAACGGCTTTTCGCATCAGCGACGGACCTTGTTTTGGGTCGTGGGGCAGTGGCAGTGGCAGTGGCCGTTTGCGTGCTGGCCCAAAGGTTCCCCAGCAACAACTTTATTATTAGGAAAGTTGAAATATTGCTGCCCACACACACACACACTTCAGAGAGAGAGAGAGTAATCAGCTAATTGGCGGAGGACCGCGCCGAAGGAAACCCAGTTAATAAGTGAAGAGTTCATGCAGCTGCACCTGCGGGCATTGCAAGCCAAATAGCCGAAGATACTCGTCCTGACAAACGTACAAATTGCACGGAAAGTGAAAAGTGAAAAGTAACGAAGGCCAAACAGAGCAAACTTTTTAATTGTTTAATGTTTCCCAAAGTTTCCCTTCATGTTCTTAATTTCGCTTGTTTGCAGTTTCGTTAGTTTTTTCGCTGTTACTTCGAGCACTTAAGCTGACTCCATCTGTCAGGTTGCACGATTGTTTGCGCTCGGTTTTCTGAGCAGCGCGTTTCGTGGGGATTTTCCCAGCCAATGTGGCGTATGATGAATATCAAACAACCGAGCGAACAACACTAACTGCCATGACAATCAAAATGTAAAAGACAGAAGGAGACAGAGAGAGAAGAATGGAGAAAGGGGATTGTAATGCAACGAAAGTTGCCGGGCAAATTCAAAAGTCAAATAGCCACAACAGGAGAACAAGTTTCCCAAGCGAACGAGAAACAATGCCAAACAACGGGTTTACGTCTGCAAGTGCATTCGATGAATTAAACATATTCAGTTGGCTGTACCTCGTCAGTTTCCTTCCGAATTTGTTGTCAATCGACTGCTTTTCAAGAGTGCACTGACAGAAATATTATCCTGCTTAAATTTAAATTGAAAAAATACATATATTAATATTTTTATGAATGACTACACTTCAAGCTTCTCCTTAAAGTTTGAATATATTGAGGATCCCAAAATATTTCCACCTGAAAATGATACCATTAATTTTACCTAGTCAGATAGCATTACAAATAATTCTTCAGTCTAGAAAGCTACCACTTACAACATGAAAAGAGTAGTAAATTTTCTGAAGTGCACTTTCACTCCCCACAAATAAATCGCCATGTCCTTTGTCTCTTGCTGGTTTGCGGTTCGCTTGCCACCTTGCAGATATTTCAATGTCAATGTAAGCGCGGAGCTATATATATACACCGTATATAGTACACCGCCCCCGCTAAACAAAACAAAAGTTGGGAAAACTTTTGCTTTCAGCGGAAGTCAGCGCCATAAAGTGCTAAAAGCTTAAAGCGGAAATAACAAAAATTCTCTAAATAACAACAATGGTAAATCGGGCACATATTTCTATATGTTTAGTGCTGTTATCTGGCTGTCTGCGTAAAGTGCCAAGCGGAAGTGCAAGTTGCAGTGGCAGAAGAAAACGTATATGAATGCGAATCCGACTAAGAATTGGAAAGCACAGTCAAAGTCGAGCAGACATTCGCCGAGAGTGGTTCGTGGTGTGGTGGAAGAAGTTTTCACTCTCGAACTGGGTACGATAATTGTGAAATGTTTTTGCCATTGGCCAAGTTTATTATTTTCTTATCAGCCCGGACAGTGCAGAGCGCATTATTCACTACCCCACAAACCCCAGCTCCTTGTGCCCGTTGCCACTTGACGACGCATAAAAATCTTCGCACGAAGTTTTCAGCAA